TCTGTCTATGCTGCCAATTTTTCTTTTCCAATTTTTCCTGTTGGTAAGTCAACTAAATCATCAAAACTGGCTATAGTTTTATTTGTTATGTTTATTGTTTGCATTTTTAGTTTATCTAACTGTCAGCACTGTTAATACAGTTATCCTGAGTTATTAAAGGAAGTTTTGAAAATTCCTTTAGAAATCCTGGTTCTTCTAGAAGTGTTCACTTTTGGAAGAACAAGGATTTCTAAAGGAATTTTCTTGCTGCAAATACTTAAGTCCATGTTTTATAGGTACTTATTCGTATTTTTTCCTAAGAATCCTGTTCATCCTTTTTAGATATCTGTCTTATAATATTATCTTGCTTAAAAGATTTTGATCAGGAGTTTTGACTATTTCTGTCAGCTCCACAAGAGGGTTAGCCAGACTGTTTAATTACGCAACATGTATTTTTCCATACTTTCTATATCCCTATATTGTAAAGAATGATAATCAATAGTTTTTTCATCCACTTCTGCTCCCTCTTTCCCACTTACCATGTATTTTTGTTGTTCATTATCTCCACAGTGGAAAATGCTTCCCTCCAATATTATTAGGTCTATATAGATATTATTATCTCCTCAACTGACTCTTTGCTTGCTGTATCTGATTTAAGGATCCCACTGAAATAACAATCAGAAATCTCTTAGTGTTGTTTTTAGAGAGTAGGACCTCCATTCTTTCTATATCTCTAGGTGAAATCAATTATTGTAACCTGAAAATAGTAAATTGGCTTCTGCCTCTTCTGAATACCGTCTGTACATCTGACAGTTCTTATTCCATGTGCTGTTGAAGCCTAAATGGAAAATCTTAACGATTATCCTAACAGAGGGTAAGATAAATGGAACTGTAGGGGTCTGAACATTCTTTACCACTACCCCTTTTTGTGATTGGAATATAAATCAATATTTTCTAGTCTCTTGGCTGTGGCTGTATGATGCACTTTAACCGAATCTTTGATTTTACATAGTTTTGCTAGTCTCTGATCAATTTCTGCAGCATTGATGTTAATAATATTTTCAAGGGTCCATTTAATTTAACCTTCCAGAATCTGTCTCTAGTTCAGTGATCAAATCTTCATACACACGCACACACACACACAATTTATACATATATACACGCAATGTTAGCATCTCTTTTGCACAGTTCTTCAGTATATTCATACCATTTCTTCTTAAGTCTTCTCCAACAGGCCTTTGCACTCTTGGTTTGTTTGCTTTTTTGGTGCCCATCTCTGCATAAAAGGTTCCCTTGATTTCCCTTACCTTTCTAAAGAAATCTCTTGTCCTTCCCGTTCAACTGTTATTCTCAATTTTTTTGCACTGCTCATATATATACCCCCTTGTCACTTCTTGCTGTCTTTTGTGGTACTGACAATCCTGCTCCTAAAGCAAATGGCACCCTAGGAGCTATTTCTGATTGGAATTCCAAAGACTAGCTGGGGTGGGAGACAGAAAAATTCAATTTATTTTCTTAAACAGCAGATCTCCCCTGAAGTTATTAAACAAATCATTTCTGAAAATGCTTCTGAAAACTGAGAAGAGGAACTAATTCAATTATAGGAAACAGAACCATGACAACAAACAAAAGAGCAAATGTAGTATTTTGCTTGAAACCATCACTTCTTCTCTATATCTAATACTTAACTTGCTTTGCTCCTGTAGTTTCCATTCATTCACAAAGATAGATTTAGTTTACCTTCTTCAACCACTATAGCCCAGGTGGAAAAAATACAGAGAGGCAGCCAAAAAACTATGAGTGTGCTAGTTGAATGCCATTAAGATGTACATGTTCTGGCAAAATTTATTGAACTGAATGCTGTGCCCTTCAAAAACTAATATGCAAACATGATCAAAAGCAATGGCAGATCTGTCCAAATGTGTGTTCTGGCACATTTGAGAGAGTCAGTTAACTGCCATCAGTCTATATTGTATCGGCAACAGTTGGAATAATTTAGGAATGCAAACTTCCACAATACATTAATTAGATTAACATGATAGGGGAGGACCTGACTTCACCTCTTCCAACAACTCAATATCCTCAGAATTTAGTATACTAGAGGTGACATGAGGATCAGCTACCAGCCAGCTGGATCTAGGAATTCTTACTTTGTGCAAAGTGATGCAGGTAATTACTGGTAACTTTTTTATTTTGCTCTGGATTGCTATCGCTTGGATCACATCAAATTACTAATCAGGTAGCTCATATCTAATGACTGATGCTCACAGAGACCTCCAAGAAAACAAGGACTTCATAATTTCTTCTAATGTCAGCATCTTGCCTTAGATACAAGGAGCTGTCCTTTGTACTGAAGAGAAAAAGGAAGCTCCTGCTCAAACCAAGTACTGTATTGCATCTTTCTTGGAGGTTTTGAGCACAGCAGCAGATCTTTCCCAATACAGGTACTCCCCGGTTAAGAATACCCTGTTTATGGATGACCCATAGTTAAGAATGGAGCCTACTGTAGGAAAATTTGAGTTAAATACACAATGATTTGAGTTAAATACACAATGGTTTGAGTTCATTACA